AGCTCCCTGTGCGCCGGAAGCCCTCCTTCCGGGAAACCCTGAGGCTGGGAGTAAAGCAAGGATTTTTTAAAAAAGAAAGTCACTGAATTAACTAGCTGTCTATTTTCCTTTTCTTTCTTTTTTTGGTAAGGGGTATCAAACTCAAGACCTTGCACTTGCCAAACAAGGTGCTGTGCCACTGAACTATATCTCTAGTCCTAGATATTTTCATGTCCACATTTTTTTAATCATATGTACCTCACCATGGCTATTCTAACGATGAACTTCTGTGGGTAGATTTGTGGCATATAGAACAGGTTAACAATAAATAATAGCTTTATTATTTTTCTAACAAAGGTCTCTTCTGTCACTATTTGAAACTTAGGTAACATGTATTATATTTATTTCAGCATTCTGGTTTTTGTTTTTGTTTTTTTGAGACAGGGTGTTGCTATGTAGTTCAGGCTGGTATTGAACTTACTGTGTAGCGCTGCCTGACCTCAAACTTGTGGCAGTTACTCCTGCCAAAGCCTCCCAAGTACTGGAATTACAGGCATGCATCAACATGTCTGCCCAGTGTTCTGGTTTTGAAGAGCCTCATATCAGGTCTCATGAAATAACTTCAAAAAAAAAAAACAAAAAGCCCTAGACACTTGCATGAGCACATGCACAGGAAATAGTTCTGTGTTCAACAGTTGGGATCACATTAAAATTAAGAAGCTTCTGTACAGGAAAGGAAACCACTAACAGAGTAAAGAGACAACCAACAGAATGGGAAAAAGTTTTTACCAGGCACTCCTCAGACAAAGGACTATCATCTGCAGTATATAAAGAACAACAACAACAACAAATCAGCCCTCCCCCCAAATTTAAAGACCGAAAATGAGCATTTAAAGTAGACACTTCCCAGTATATGAGCATCTAAAATAGACACTTCCCAGATGAAGCAGTACAAACAGCAAATAAATCTATAAAAAATGCTCAACATCACTGGGCATTCAAGAAAGGCAAACTGAAACAACACTGAGATTCCATCTCACCCCAGAAAGAATGGCTATCATAAAGAAATCAGCCAATAGCAAACGCTAGCAGGGCTGTGGGGGAAAAAGGAACCCTTATCCACTGTTGATGGAAGTGTATTTTTTTTTTTTTTTTTTTTTTGCCTTTTTGAGACAGGGTCTCACTATACAGTTCAGACTGGCCTTGAGCTCACTTTGTAGCCCAGGCTGGCATTGAACTCGAAAGGATCCTCCTGCCTCAGCCTCCCGAGTGCTGGGATTACAGGCATGTGCCACCATGCCCGGCTTAGGAGTGTACACTGATGCAACCACTGTGGAAATCAGTGTGGAGAGTCTTGGAAAAACTAGCACTAGAGATTCCATTTGACCCAGCTATTCCCCTTCTTGGTATCTTCCTGAAAGAGGTAAAAGCACCATACCACAGTGATATATGCATATCTATGTTTATAATAGCTAAATCTTAGAAACAGCCGTATGCCACTCAGTAGACAGATGGATAAAGAAAATGTGGTATTTATATACAATAGAGTATTGCTCTGGCGTAAAGATAAACTTGAGTCATTTATAGGAGAATGGATGCCCCTCAAGACCATACTCTTAAGTGAAATAAATCAGACACACAAGTTTCAATGTTGCATTGTTTGTCTTGTGTGAGAAACTGAAAGGGTAAATAAGGAGCCAAATGGAGGATAGATATTGGGATGCAGGAAGAAATGGGACAAGGGAGGGGAATAAGGAAGGCGGAGGGGTAAGAGAAGAAAGGGAAGAAAGAAGGAGAAAATGAAAAACAGCTTTTTTAAATAGGGAAGGGAATGGGAAAAAAGAATCAAGATCCGTTATGTACAGGTACAAATTATTTATGATGAATGTGATCAATATGTATGACAAATATGTACTAATAAAAACATACAAAGTTACATTCTGTCTACATATACAGGAATAACCAAGTTCTTGGGGGAGACAGCTTTTGTTTGTTTTTATTTATAGGAGTCCTATTGGCCACGTGTCATCTTCAGTTTCACCAAGTATAAGATGTAGTTAGTAGCCTGTGTGACTTCTAACCAAATGCAGATCTATTTCTGTGGCATGACATGTTCTTTTTCTCTCCTAGGTCTTTCAGAGCCTTGAAGATCACCATTTGGAGGTGGTAGCTTTTTTCAAGGAAAATGGCTTCCATGGCCTTCTTGCCCATGACTCCGAGTATGCTCTCTACAATATTCCCTTTTACTACAGTTCCCACGCTCTCAAGCTGAGCTGGAACGGGAAGAACCTCACTACCAACCAATTCTTGATGCAGGAGGTGGCCAAGCAACTGGGCCTGAAGCGCATGAGTTTTCCCATATTTGCTGCGTTGTTAGGTAAGTGCTTCAAGGGAGGGAAGCCAGTGATTTTAGTTTCCTCTCCCATTGTTAAGAGATGAAGACTAGAGTAATTTAGCCTGTCATTGTCTTCTTAAAGTCCTCATGCTCCAAACTGCTGTAGAAAATCCAGCAGGGGTTTGGGCTGGCTTCTTAGTAGACTAGTCTAAACTCACCATATTTGTCTTCTGGATTGTTGCAGGATTACAGAATGTTATTTAAAACTTCCTTTATTGGCAGTTTTGTTTTGGGGTTTTTTTTTTTTTGAGACAGGGCTTCACTATGTAGTTCAGGCTGGCCTTGAATTCTCTAGGTAAGCCAGGCTGGCTTGGAACTTGGGATGATCCTCCTGCCTCACCTCTCGAGTGCTGGGGTGACATGCATATGCCACCACCCTTGGCTATAAGATTTTCTTTTATAGCGTTTCATAACTGTTGTATGCGGGGTATGTCTTAGGCCAAATGTTTCGCTAGTCCTAGACAACTTTGGTTCCCCTCTCAGATCGTTCACATTTCTTCCCCAGCATCTAAATTTAGATTAGAAACACAAATTGTTGTTTATATTTTTTCTTTATTTCTTGTGTATTATAAAGATTTCCAACATGCAGTAAAAGTGAAAGAATTTTGCTGTAAAAACCCTTTATTCCACGCCTATATTCTGACATTAACATTTTACTATACTTTATCAAATATCTGTCCATTTCTCTATCCACCCATTTATGTTTTTAAGATCTATTTCAAAGTAAATATAGATGGTTCGTTGTATTTTGAGTTTGTTTTTCAAATACGGACAGCATGAATGTTAATATCTGTCTCAGATGTGACCTCTGCTGTATAAATCCCAAAGGACAAGGATTGGATAATCTAACAGAATCAACCCAGGTTTTCGGGTTAGATCTTACATAAATCATTGAAGTCAAACTTTGCCAATTTCAGTTTGCTCATCTATGAAATAGGACTAATAATACCCCATGGTATTATTGATGAAGTTAAATGAAATGAGATATATAAAATGTTCAGCACTTAGTAGGCAGTCAGTAATGTGGTGGTTTTCATTATAAAAGGCAACATGATTAGGTGATAAAGTAATAAATAGCATGGGCTTTGGAGTCAGACAGTCCTAGCTTTTTAACCTGGTGTGGGCCTTTCTTGGTTCAAATCTCCAAAGTTGTCTCAACCTCAGTTTTCTTACCTGTAGTACGGAGATGAGAGTATCATGCATGATCGTTATAATGATGATGCATGCAATGCATATGATACATAGTAGGAGTCAGCACACAGCTTCTGTAATTATTACATTAAGAATATAGGCCTGTGTGAATTATTTGGTCATTTTCTCTACTAGGACTCTTTTTATGGCCTGGAGTTTCTAAGAAAACATTTGTACAGTCAATAAATGAAAAATATACTTTGTAGGTAACCACATTCTTCCAGATGAGGATCTGGCTGCTTTTCACTGGAGCCTTTTAGGACCAGAACATCCTCTTGCATCACTTAAGGTAATGTGCCCCTACTTCCTTCCTGTACAGATGAGGGGATGTCAGGTTCTCATTGTAGCTTGATGGAATAATTATCTTTTATTAGATTCAAAATATTTCACACGCATAAAAAATTTAGTTGTAGCTGGGCATAGTGGTGCACACCTGTAATCCCAGCACTCGGGAGGCTGAGGCAGGAGGATTGCCATGAGTTTGAGGCTATCCTGGGTTACATAGTGAGTTTAAGACAAGCCTGAACTATAGAGTAAGACCCTGTCTTAAAAAGTAATAAAAAAAAAAACCTTAGTTGTAATAATACCTTTAATATAGTACGAATTGATACAAATCTCTGAAGAAAAATACTAATGCCCCAATAATGAAATAATGAGCAAAGGACAGAATCAGGAAATTCACAAAGAGGAAATATACCTACCAGTAATATGACTAGACAGTCACCTCACCAGTGATCATGCGTGAAAATAAAATGAGCAGAGTGATTTTTTTATTAACAGTTTAGCAAATATTGAAACATTAGTCTACTGCTGTCAAATCTGTGGCAAGACTGATACCCTCCTACACCTCTGGTGGTGGTATAAGTTGGTGATTCTACTTCTTTCCCACTTTCACTTTTCTATATGACTATTTCATACCTTCCCCTCTTTCTTCCAGCCTCTAATTCTTCCTTCTCATTTGCTCACCCATAGTCCATGACCTTGCTTCCTGTTAAGATGGAAGCAGGACATAGAGAACTTCCATCAACTCCCAGACCTCACCTACATGTATCTATGAACCCACACGCTGTGCCTGCCTGCTGTTAACTGTGGATGACCTGCCTCTGTTCCTATCAAAGGCCAATCCCTACAGTATCCTCTTTGGCCAGTTTAAGCAATTCTTCCCTTTTTTTCCTGTATCATCCATTTTTTCTGTCTTAATTGATTCTTGTTCGTCAAAAGTACAAGCATGCATCCATTTTCTTTTTATTATTTGTTTTTATAGTACTGGGGAATAGGCCCATGACCTTCTCACTTAGCTCAGCCGTATTTATGTTTCATTTGGAGACAAGGTCTTGCTTAGTTGCTAAGTTGATCTGTTAGAGCTTGAACTTGTGATCCCCCTGCTTCAGCCTCCTAGAATGCTAGATTACAGGCGTGTAGCACCATACCTGGCTTTTTTTTTGAGACAGCGTCTATGTAGGCTGGTCTTTCACTTGCTGTGTAGCCAGGCTATCCTGAAACTCACAATCCTCCTGCCTCAGCCTCCTGAGTACCAGGACTATAAGCATGCATCATCACATCTGATGTATGCATCTATTAAAAAAAACTCACTCCTACCCTCATTCCTCCCCACCCAAGCTACCATTTTTACTATCTATCTATCTATCTGTCTATCTGTCTGCACCATTGAGTATTAAACTCAGGTTGTTGCCCTTGGGAAGCGTTCTATTACCGAGCTGTATCCCCGGGCTGCTTTTTTTTAAAATTTTGATACAGATTTTGCTGTCTTGCCTAGGCAGGCCTTGAGTGTGTGATCCTCCTACCTCAGCTTCCTGAAGAGCTGCAATTACATATGTGCACTTTGCACAGTTTTGTCTATGTAGTACTTAAGCTGCTTACTATCCTCTTCCCCTATTCTCTTTTCAATCTGGCTTATTGAAGTTGCCCTTGACAAGGTCAACGATAATCTCAAGTTAGTAAACCCAGGGGCTAGCTCTCCATTTTTATCTTACTTGACCCGTTGGCAGCATTTGACACAGTCACTAATTCTTCTCTTAGCTTTAAGGATAGTACCTTCTTGTGGTTTCCTGCCTACCTTACTGACTGTTGTTTTTCAGTCTCTATAGCTAGCTGCTTTTAACTTTCAGCTGTGGAGTGTTCCAGAGTTCTATCACGGGTCCCTTTTCTCTCTGCAGGTATGACTGATCCAGTCTCATGCCTTAAAATCATCCATCCATTGGTGACTCCTAAGATTATACTCTAGCTCTGACCTCTCCTTTGAACCCCAAATTCTAATACCATATCTATCTATTAAACATCCTCATTTACATATCTAACAGGCATCTCAAAGTAGTATTTCCAGTGGAAACTTCTAATCTTTCCTGTAAGCTTGCTCCTCACACAACTGTCTTCATTTTCCTTAATGGCAGCATCATCCTTCCACATTTTTAGGCTAAAAACGTTGGCATCATCCTGACTTCCCTCTCTCTCACATACCACATTTTTTTTTTTTTTTTTTTGGTCTTTTTGAGACAGGGTCTCACTATGCAGTTCAGGCTGGCGTTGAGCTCACTTTGTAGCCCAGGCTGCCGTCGAACTTGCAACGATCCTCCTGCCTCAGCCTCCTGAGTGCTGGGATTACAGGCATGCGCCGCCACGCCCGGCTACATCCCACATCTTATGTGTCCAGCCAACAACATCAAACTGGGTACAGCAGCACATTCTGGTAATTATAGGTACTCTGGAGGCTGAGACAGGAGGATCAAAAGTCCCATGCCAAACTGAGCAACTTAGTGAGACCCTGTCTCAAAATACAAAATAAAAAGGGATAGGGATGTAGCTTCATTGTGGAGCACATATCTAGCAGGTGTAAGGCCCTAGGTTTAATCACTGGAAATGGGAAAAAAACCCCTATCACTTCTCTCTTCAAAAACATGTCTGTCTCTCACCATTTTTCTTACTGCTACCCTGGTTGAGTAACCATTATTTCTTGCTATAATTATTAAAATAGGTTACTAATCATTTGTCTTCTTACTCTCCCCCGACACCCAACTAACCTCAATATAGCAGCATAGTGAACCTTTAAAATAAGAATCAGAACATGTCACTTCTCTAAAATCTTCCAGTGACTCTTCAGATCACTCATCTAATCCTTCTTATCACAGCCTAGAAACTGCTTTACTCTCTGGCCCCTTTTTACATTTTTAATCTCATATTTCTTTTTTCTTGTATTTTTCCCCTTACTCTTAGAGCCTTTCTACTTACTATTCCCTGTGTTTGAAGTGCTTTTTCCTCTCACATAGCCATTTTCTCACTCCTAGAAATTTTTTCAAATGTTACTTTCTCAATAACACTTTTTCTGATTATTGCATTTATAATTATATGCACATGCATACACACCTGTACACATGTGTGCTTGCATTTCTTAGCCCTTTCTATGGTTACATTTTCTTTTCTTTTTTTTTCCTGTCTTTTTGAGACAGGGTCTCTCTATGCAGTTCAGGCTGGCCTTTGGGTTCACTTTGTAGTCCAAGCTGGTCTCAAACTTGCAACAGTCCTCCTGCCTCAGCCTCCCAAGTGCTGTAATTACAGGCATGTGCCACTACACCTGCCACATTTTCTTAATAGGACTTATCTATATCTAGCACGCTACATTTTGCCTACTTATGTATGTGTTTTGTGGTACTGGGGATGGACAACAGGGCCTTCACACTGAACTATATCTTTGCCCATTTTTTATTTTGAGGGATTCTCTTCATTGGTCAGGCGGGCATGGAACTTTCAATTCTCCTGCCTCAGTCTACCAGAGTGCTGGGATTATAGGTATGCATCACCTACCCAGCTCCTGCTTCTTTTGTTTCACTTCCTCCCTCACCTGATCCCAACACATCTACAATAAAATTTAACCTCTCACTTAGGCAAGGATATTTTTTTTCTTTCCTATTCACTGTTGCGTCCCTAGTACTAGCTAGGACAGTACCTTTCACATAGTATATATGTAGTAAATGTTTTTGAAGAAATGAGAGGTACAGCATTTTAGCAAAACTGTTTTTATCAAAAGCTTTTAGGAAGTTTATACCCTTCAACTCAGTAACTGTAGTTTGAGAAAGTTTAAAATTAAATAATTGGAAAATAGGCAATAAATCATACCTACGTTTCATCACAATATCAAAAAAGTTTCAAAAATTTTTTATGTATCTTAAAAGTAGGGAAAACAATATAATAATATAGTGTTACCATTACAACATCTTCCAGTTATCAAGATTTTGCCACAGTTGCTGGGATTTGTTGTTGCTAATGTATTTTGAAGCACATGCCAAACCTCAGGTTATTACATTCCTGCATTCTTTAGCATGCATCTGTAAAACACTTAGTTTTCTTACATAAGCATACTGCCATTATCACTCCTAACAAAATTAATACTAATCTCTTGGTATCATCTTAATATCCACTCTATTTTCAGGTTTTCTTGATTGTCTCAAAGAGGGCTTTTTGTGGTTACTTTAAATCAGGATCCAAAAATTGTCCACACATGACTTTTTTTTTTGAGACAGGGTCTCCCTATGTAGTGCAAGCAGGCTTTGGACTCACTTCTGTACCCTAGGCTGACCTCAAAATCATGGCAATCCTCCTGCCTCAGCCTCCCGAGTGCTGGGAATACATTCATGCGCCACCACACCTGGCCACACAGTATTATTTTTAATTGCAAAAAATTGGAATCAGCCAAAATATCTCTTGAGCTGTGTATGGTAATCCTAGCAGGAGGATCACCACAAGCCTGAGGGCCAACCTGGGCTACATAGAGTCCAAGGCCAGCCTGAACTGCATAGTGAGACCCTGTCTCAAATAAAACAAAACAAAATGGCTCTTGAAATAGAGCTGATTAATTATGACAGTGTCATAAAACAATTGTTATCTGCATAGGAATATCATGGATATGGTTTTGTGTTTATACTTTTTCAGTCTTTCCCAAGCATTCTGTACTGAAAGTTAGGTGGGAAAGTATGTTTTAAAAAGAATTTTTCAGTGGATTTACTGAAATTATATTCCATATATCATCCCTACCTCAGTCTTTCTCAGGAATTCATCTTTAATACTAATGTCCTTTAATTTTTTCCCTTTTTTAGGTGCGAGCTCATCAGCTTGTTCTTCCACCTTGTGATGTGGTAATCAAGGCTGTTTCTGAGTATGTTAGTGCCATCAAAGACCCTTCAAACCTTGATGTTGTTGGGAAGGATGTTTTCAAACAGTCTCAGGTGAGCTAGCCTTTCTCCTAAGAGTCACCAGTTTGCTTAACTTCTTCAGTAACACAAGCAAGTCTCCTATTTTCTGGGACACCTAACTTCTCTCCTCCTAGCTGGATTTCCTTTTAGAAACATTAGTTGATCTGGATTGAAAAGCTTTTTTTAAATGTATTTTCTACTGATAATCGAAGTAATACTAACCCATTCTGGAAAACTCAGAAAATAAAGAAAGCAAGTAACTTAAAATCTCTTGATCCAGAAAAGAATTGGGCATAATTAACACTCTGGCACATCTCCTCCTCGTCTTTTTTTTTTTTTTTTGGTGGTGCTAAGTATTGAACGTAGGACCTTGCATATGCTAGGCAAGAGTTCTATTACTGATCCTCCTTCCTTTTTTTCTTTTGAGACAGAATCTTACTAAGTTCTCCACACCGACCTCAAACTTTCAATCCTCCTGCCTAACACTCCCCAGTAGCTAGGATTGCAGGTGTGTGGCACGATGTATACTTTAATATAACGGAGGCTCTGCTTATTAAAGGATAAAATGGGTAATGAAAAAGGCTATGTGAGTCCACATAAAATAAGAATCAAAATTTCACTGGTAATAGTGGTAGGAATGGCTGAACTTCAATTTTATCATATAAAATAAAACTAAAAATTGTGAAAATAAACTAGTTTTATTTTTAACAATTTGATGATACGTGAAACTCTGAGTTTTCCACTTTGTTTGTTTGTTTGTTCTTTGTTTGTTTGAGACAGGGTCTCGCTATGCAGTTCACGCTGGCCTTGAGCTCACTTTGTAGCCCAGGCTGGCCTCAAACTCGCAACGATCCTCCTGTCTCAGCCTCCCGAGTGCTGGGATTACAGGCATGCACCACCACACCCAGCTGAATTTTCTACTTTTATTTTTTAAATTAATGTTCAAGCTGAGTTTTGTGTATGTGTGTACAGTTCTCTGAATTTTTAAGTTAGAGATTTGTGTAACTACTATCACATTCAGGTTACAGAATAATTGTACTATTCAAAATATCTCTCATATTATTCTTTTGTAATAGTTTCCAAGCTAAACCCTAATCCCAGTAAGCACTACTTCTCTGTCATTATAGTTATGTCTTCTAGAGAATATTATATAAATGGAATCATATGGTATGTAACCCTTTGAGAATGGCTTCTTTCATTTAACATAATACCTTTAAGAGTCTTCTAAATCATTACTTGTTTCACATATTAATAACTCATTCCTTTTTGTTGCTGAGTAATAGACACCGTATGAATATATTAGTGAGCTTTCCCATCCCTGGGTCATACTACCTGACACAATTTTTAAGTGAAGGAGATTTATTTTTTCTTTTTCTTTCTTCTTTTCTTTTTTGGTTTTGGTTTTTTGAGACAGGGTCTTTCTTTGTAGTACGGGCTGGATTTGAACTCACTATATAGCTGAGGCTGGCCTCAAACTTGTGGTGATCCTCCTGCCTCAGCCTTCCTAGTGCTGGGATTAAAGACATGTACCACCACACCTGGCAAAATTTGAGAGGTTTAATGTGGCTCATGATTTGAGGGGATTCAGTCTGTGGTTAGCAGGCTCCAAGGCAGAAATGTGGTGAAGGGAAGGTATGGTAGAACAAAGGTGCTTAGTTGATGGGCCTGGGAAGCAGAACAGTGCAAGAGATAATGGGGCTGGGAACAAGATATAGTTCCCAAAGTCACACTTACATTACTAACCAGACACACACAGAAATGTGCTTTAATAATCCCTTGGATGGGTTCCAAGCCAATCAAGTTGACACAATTAAGATTAACCATCACAGCAGATCTACCACATGTTGTTTTTCTATTCACCCCATAAAGGATATTTAAGTCAATTATAATTTCTGGTGGTTTTGAATAGAGTGTTATAAGGGCTTGTGCACAGATTTCCATGTGGGCATAAATTTTCGTTTCCCTAGTTTAACTATGTTAAGAGTGAGATTCCTGGGTCATATGGTAAGTATGTTTCTTAATTTATAAGTCCTTGCTAAACCATTTTTCAGAATAGCTGTTCCTTTTTATTACCATCACTTGGTCAGTATTTTTAAAACTTCTTTTTTATTTTTATTTTGTAGTGTTGAAGATCAAACCCGGGCTTGTGTATATTATGTATGAGTACTATACCACTGAGCAATACCCTCAGCTTTTGGTTTTTCTGGTTTTTCTGGTTTTTCTCCGGTACCGGGAACCGAACTCACGACCTTGCGCTTGCCAGGCAGGCGCTTTTGCCGCTGAGCTAAATCCCCAGCCCCCCTCAGCTTTGATCACTATTTTAATTTGTATTTCACAAATGACTAATGATGAAAATTTTTCTTGTGCTTCACTTGCCATCCTGTTTGGTGAATTGTTGGTTCACCAACAGTCTTTTACCCACTTAAAAACCTAATCTGTTTGTCACTTATTGCTGAGCTTTGAGAATTTTTGATATGTTATATGTATAAGTCCTGAGTCAAGTGTCAGGCTTGCAAATTACTTTCTCCTACTCTGTAGTTTGCCTTTTAATAGCATCTTTTCAAAATGAAATTTTTGGTTTTTATCTTTTATGGATCATGCCTTTGGCATCCTGTCTAAGACCTCTTTGCCTAACTTCAGACATGTTTATTTTCTCATTTCCTTTTTTTTTAGTTTTTGGTACCAGGAATTGTGTGTGTGTGTGTGTGTGTGTGTGTGTGTGTGTGTGTGTGTGTGTGT